TGCTCCTGGCCCCTTCACCCCCTTTCACCCCCTGAACCCAGCACCTCGGCACGCCCTGCGCCCAAACTAACCCTAAACTAACCCTCAACCAACCCTAAACTAGCTCGAAACACACATCTTTCAACAACACTTGACACTTTCTGAACACACTCTACACCAAGCCGGAACCAACTTAATCAACCCTAACCCAATCGCAAACCAACCTTGGATTACACCCACCCCTAGCACATACCTGAAACCAACACTAAACTCTGAACCACCCCGAAACTAACCCAAACCACCCCAGCACAAGGATTCAAACACACACATCCCAAACCACCACTAAATACACTCTAAACCAGCCATAAACCTACCTTAAACCTACCTTAAACCAACCCTAAACACATATTTTAGACCAACACTAAAAACTCTAAACCACTACAACTAGTTCAACCCTAAACCAAGTCTAAACCACTACAACCCCACCACAGGGGGGGGGAGGGGTTGAGTCTTAGACCAACCATACACCCTAAACCACACCCCAAGACCATATATGTGGTACCCCCCCCCCCCTGCTCCAGCTGTCGGGAGGTGTGACAGCAGAAGAAGTCATAGAGCATCCTACGTTCAAGAACATCCAAGAGCAGCTCCGTTCCTTCAAGCACAAGGTGGCGATGCTGAGCGGCAACTTCAGGACACGGAGATTGAAATCCAGGAGCTGACCGATAGGATCGTCATTTTAGAAGCCGCCATCCAGGAAAAAGAAGAAGAAGTAGAGGGACTACAGTTTGAACTGAGTCAGGCGCACAAGCGCCTGCGCATTTGTGAGCAACTGTTGGAGCAGTCGATGGCCATCACAAACCGCGCCAGAGTGCTCTAGCGTGGCAGCATATTTGATGTGACGCATCCTTCTGCTTTGTTTGTGTCCGTGCAGCCCTGTCTTGCTTTTGTCAGACCACGACCACGTGTCTACAGAAGGATAACGCCATCATGTCGGGCCGTGTGACATGTTTGCTCATGTAAGGGGTAAGCGATAAAACCTGAAACGTGTGGAGCCACAATGTGGACCCGTGCACCAACCTCCCCCCTTACCCTAACAGACTTGCAGGGTGCTTGCAGACCAATTAAGAAAGGTGTCAAGTCTGTCTCGGGGCTTTTGATGCCCAAGAACTGCCTGCGTCTGTCAAGCTCCTATCACCCATACCATCGACCACCAAGGTTGGCGTGATCACCCACAACTCTGACGATGGCTGCATGGACGTGCCACAGCCTCTACTTTGATCAGCCTCTGCCACATGCGGAGCTTGGCTTTGACGGGCTGGTAAGCATTGTGGGAACCCATCAGAATCCACAGGCGCATCAGCTGCTGCCTTTTTCTTTTTGTGAGTTGGAAATTTGCTCCTGCCTTTTTCCAAAGAGTGTAGGGCTTGCTTTCTTCCCCCCTCCGTTTCCAATGCAGCAGCAAGGCAGCTGGAGCTGCCTGACCTGGCAGGCTTTCGCACATGGCCTAGTAGCGCATGCAGCCTCTCAGCCTTCATGTTTGTCTAGAGTTTGTCTAGACAGCAGCCATTGAACCTGGTGTTGTTCGTCTTGGGGGTTGGCAGCAAGCAGCTGCAGATGTGCATTTCTCAAAGGCTGTGGCTCCAAAGCCAAAGTATCTTCCAACATAAAAAGAGGATCGGCGCAATGCCTTGGGGTCCACTGCGCCGTTTCCAGAACGAGACTCCTACCCTTCAAGTGATTCTCATGCTTCTTCAGAAGCTTGAGCAGCGGGCCTGCCCTGCATCTTTTCCCAAAAATCTTGGCTTTGCCTTTTGCAGGGCTCGAGCTTTCTTGAGTGGGCACTATATGTAGGACCTTCTTTCTAAGGGTAAACCTTTTTGGCGAACGGCAGCGCAGTACGTTGCCTTCGCTTGGCTGCTCACTTGGTTCGAGGTCCCTGTGGAGAACTACAAGGCTTGCCCGGCAGCCCCACTGCGGCTTTGCCTGCGTATGACGCGCAGCTCGCCACAGCGCAGCAAGGTGCCCTCGCTGCCTCCTGGTTGGCACGAGGATCTCCTGCGATGATGGGAGCCTTGAGTTTCGCATGTCACTCAGCTGCTCTCCCGGTGCTTGGTTGCCACCAGAGTTTCCTGCAGTGATGGGAGCCTTGAATCCGCCATTCATTCAGCTTCTTGTTTGCCATGACACTCTCCCGGTGCTTGGTTGCCACGAGGATCTTTTGCAATGATGGGAGCCTTGCATTCCGCAATTCATTCAAGAGCTCGGCAAGCCACAAGTGACATGTAGGGCCTTGTAGTGGAGATTTTGAGGTGGACAGCATGGTTTTGATTTCTTTTTTTCTGCTTGCACATCAGATTCCTCTTGCGACATGTGTGGAAGGCGGGGCTTTTCGCTGAACTCCGACTCTGTCCCGTTCAGCTTTGGTGATGGCAAGCAGGCGCAGCTCTTGCGCACGAAGATTTTGCTTGAGAAGCGCCAGACCTTGCGCGCAGACGTGGATGCCACCCTGAACTACGGCCTTGTTGTGATGCAAGTGCTCTGCTTCTGAAACCCGGCGTTGCTGCCAGTGGAGCTGTGGCTGCAGGAGACATGCAATAAGGCGTCCTGCAACACATGAACCGGGCCCGTCAAGTACCGGAACTTCCTTGAGGCCGGTCGCCATCACGGGGAGTCCCCCTTCTACTTTGGTGCTTGGTTGTCGTCCAGCGCCTCTGTCTTTCTCCTGTCTCTCTGCTCGTGGACGGCGTGTCTCCCTTGCCAAAACATCATGGCGGAGAATAATAGTTTAGGGTCTAGACAGGGCGGCCAGGAATGCAGAACAGACTGTCAGCTTGTGGGTTTTACTTATTTCAGGGAGCGCCTCGCGTTACGGTTTTTGCTTCGGCCCACTCCTGCCTGTCTCAGCACACGTCTCTGCTGAGGAAGGAAGGGGCGCATGGCAGTCCCCTATGCTCTAAACTTCACAAATGCAGTACTCACAAGAATTGTGTGGGCGCAGATGATCTTAGGTGTTTTGGGGCTTTACAGCTCTTAGAGAATTTTCTGAGAAACTGCCATAGGTGTCTACTATGGGTCACGTGCGGTACGATGCGGCATTTGCGTGTTTTGTATCTTGTTTGCTTTCAGTGCCATGCTCAAGCCATGTGTGGTGAAGGAGTGTAGAGTTTGACATGAAACGTCCAGCAGCGGCGCTCCGACGACCAGCAGCTGCACCACCAGCTGCGGCGCTCCGACGCCCAGCAGCTGCACCAGCAGCTGCACCAGAAGCCGTGCCGGCAGAGGCTCTTCCGCCCCTAAAACCCTAAACCCTAAACCCAAAAAACTGAACCCTTAAAAAACCTAAACCCTAAAAACCTTAAACATTGAAGATCCTAAACCCTAAAAACCCTAAACCCTAAAACCCTAAACCCTAAAATCCCTAACCCTAAATACCCTAAACCCTAAAAAACCCTAAACCCTGAAAACCCTAAACCCTAAAAACCCTAAACCCTAAAAACCCTAAACTCTAAAACCCTAAGCCCTAAAACCCTAAACACTAAAGACCCTAAACCCTGAAACCCCTAAACCCTAAAAACCCTAAAACCCTAAACCCTAAAACCCGAAACACTAAAGATCCTAAACCCTGAAACCCCTGAACCCTAAAAACCCTAAACCGTAAAAACCCTTAACCCTAAAAACCCTAAACACTGAATATCCTAAACCCCGAAGACCCTAAACCCTAAAATCCCTAAACCCTAGAAACCCTAAACCCTAAAAACCATAAACCCTGAAACCCCTAAACCCTGAAGACCCTAAACCCTAAAATCCCTAACCCTAAAAACCCTAAACCCTAAAAAACCCTAAGCCCTGAAGGTCCTAAACCCTGAAGACGCTGAGCCCTAAAATCCCTAAACCCTAAAAACCCTTAACCCTGAAAACCCTAAACACTGAAGATCCTAAACCCTGAAGACCCTAAACCCTAAAATCCCTAAACCCTAAAAACCTAAACCCTAAAAACCCTAAACACTGAAGATCCTAAACCCTGAAGACCCTAAACCCTAAAGTCCCTAAACCCTAAATACCCTAAACCCAAAAAACCCTAAACACTAAAGATCCTAAGCCCTAAAACCCTAAACCCAAAAAGCCCTGAACCCTAAAAAACCTAAACCCCCAAATCCTTAAACACTGAAGATCCTAAGCCCTAAAAACCCTAAACCCTAAAAACCCTAAACCTTAAACACCCTAATCACTAAAGATCCTAAACCCTGAAAACCCTAAACCCTAAAAACCCTTAGCCGTAAAAACCCTAAACCCTAAGAACCTAAACCCTAATGACCCTACGCCCAAAAAACCCTAAAACTCTCTGTGGGCAGGGATGAGCCCAAAGTGTGGGCGCAGATGATCCTCCGCTGACCCCTTTTTTGCAAAGGGTCAACTTCTATGTATTCGCGAAAGAATCTGTGGGCGCAGATGAGTCAGAAAAGGTGGGCGCAGATGAGTCACTGCTGTGTGGGCGGAGATGAGCCGAACATGTGGGCACAGATGAGCCCCCTTCCTTCCTGAACAGTGCTTGCCGTTCGTGTGGATGGCTTCAGGAAAATATGAAAAATAATTATGCTCACGCCTCACAACCCCCTCCTCGTCCCCTTCTTGGCCCCCCCCCCCCCCCCCGCTTGGTGATGATAATCATAGTAGTCAGAGCAATAGTAACAACTGCCTTCCCCTCGCCCTCCCCTTCTTTAGAAAAGGGCTTCGCGTGCGGCCTGCAAGAATCAGTTCATTTTTGTAAAAAAAATAACGAGTTAAACGAGAACTTTCGGAAAAATCATTATTTTTCAACATCAAACCCAATTAAAGACATGGAACTTGATTGATCAGGATCAAAACGCGATGCTCAGGGGCAAAGCAAGAGTCGTTCAAAAGAGGCGTGCGTCGACGAAGCCGTCTCAGTGGCAGACAGTCCCCTAAGTCAGAGGTGCAGCCCAACACAAAGGCAAAGGACAGCGGAAGGAGCAATCAAATGGCATCGAAGCCTCCCTGATCTCCTACACACGACTGACAATGGCATCATCATCAGGATAAGCCGCTGCCGCGATGCAAGGCAAGAAGTGCCCAGCGTGCAACAGGGGCACTTTGTCGTCACTCCAGCAGAGGGCTCACATGGGTGCATTTGCTGCAGCTACGCAGTACATCAGCCCACATCACATGCGCCCGTTCTGTACGGAATGCAAAGGATCTGAAGGTCACTGCCTTCAAGCTGCCTTCAAGCCCAAGCTACCATGCTTTTGCTGCACCTATGCAACAGAAGAGGAAGCCTTGGAAGAGCCACACTTGCCTTCACCTTTGGAGTACGAACCCACAGAGGCTTCGGGCGAAGGAGCGGTCTCGGCAGAAGAAGCTTTCGTCGCTGCTGAAGTCCTGGGGATCAACGCCGCGGCTCTGTTGCAGACCCCCAGCGACCAGTGGCTGAGTGGCGTGGGTACCGGCAGTGTGCCGCTGCGAGTCACCCAGACGCGGCGAGTCAACCAGACGCGGCGGCCGGGGGAGACGCCGCGCTGTTTCAAGACTGCCGGGAAGCCTCCAGGTTGTTGAGCGCTTGGCTTAAGCAGCATTTGGAGGTGCGCGAGCGGCTTGGAGAAGTCTTCGAAGAATTCACATGCCGTTGTTGGAAGTGCTATCAGCATTTCCGCGGCATGTCAGTGTGCCCCAACTGCCTGGGCCTCAACACCGGCAAAGGATACCATGAGCAATGCCCGTTCCGAGGCCAAAGCGTCGGCCACTTCCGCCGGCACCACCGCAAGCGGTGGCCGGCGTTTGTGCGGGACGTGGCCCACGGTATGCCGGTGGACAAAGCCCAAGGAGCTGGACATAGAAGACGCAGTGACAGCCAACAAGCGCGAGCAGTTAAAGAAAGCTAAGCAGCGGGCGGAGGAGAGGAGGGAAACCGAGTCTTGGCAGCTTCGAGTCAAAAGGCGCCGTTGAGAACTTCGCAGCTGAAACTGGCTTCAGACCGGATGAAGTTGAGCTTGGCGGAAAACTTGCCAGAGCCCCCAGCCTTGACCAGCAATGCTTGGGGGGGAACTCAAGAAATCGGTGGCTCTTCTGCTTCCGCAGGCGCGGCGCTTCCTCACTCGAGGTTTATCGACTTGTTGCCTCAACCTCAACCTCCGAGCGGGCCGACTTTGCCGATTGCTTCCGGCCCCCCAGCTTCTCGCGGAGGTCCTGCTTTTGCTGCCCAAGCTGGTCAGCGGGGCCCGCTCCCATCCCGCGGCGCCCCAAGCAGAGCGCGCTGGCCTTGGCGAAATCCCTCCTGAGCCCACTGCATGGCACCGCCCCAGCCAGCTGTACAGATGTCCCGGCTGCGGCCGCGCAACCGCAAGGTGAGAAGAGTTCCGGCCGGGGCGCCGGTGGTTTTGGTGCCTCCGGCATCCCAGGTGCAGTTTCAATCATTACAGTGCTCATAAAACACAAGTTGATGGCTGTGAACCACAAGGTGGTGGAGGATGGGCAAGAAGCTCGCGCAGGGAAGGAGGAAGTATGTGGAAGCGGTTGAGAACAAACCAGTCGGTTTGGTGATGGTGTGAGCTGGCTGTCATCGACAAGCGTGATATCAGCAAAGTGCCAAGCATGAAGGCGCTTGTCAAGGGCAACGACTGCATCATGTGGGAGCATTGGTGCGCATTGAGTGCGCAGTCATACAAGATGCGCATTGACGGTGTGATCCAAGACAAGGTCGTGCGCAGCAAAGCAAGAGGCGAGCCGAGGCCGACAATGGAAAGTGGCGATGGGTACAACCAAAATACGTGAGGATCGTCTAGCTGGTTGAAGACTGGTCAGCCTTTTACAAGCGGCGCGAGGTCAATCATCAGGAGTTCAGGGCGCAATCGCAGGAGCACCTCAGTTTGCTGAACTCGAAGCATCGCCAACAGGTAGAGACCTTGCAGACGGAGCTGAACCAAGCCCTTGCGAGATTAGCGCAGCTGTCATGTATTTAGAAGTTCTGCAGCGCACAAGCAACGTGTTTCGATTTTGTTCGAATTTCATCAAGTGGAACTATGTGCCAGAACGCCATGGAACTTGCAGAGAAGAAGAAGGGTTCATCCCAGGCGCGAGGTGTAAACCACGTGATGCGAGTTTGGCCTTTGATTTCCGGCGAAGTCCCCTTTGCAGCGCGCGCGGCCGCTCCTGGAACGCTTCTCGGGGTGTCCTTTGGAACTGATCTTGGAATCCGCGATATCGCCCTTCCGCTTCTCTTTGGACTCTTTCTGCCCCTTGCAGGGCCTCCTACACTGGTCCTGCGCCAAATGGTGACAAAACCCTCCGGCATCGGCCAGGGTCCATGGGGGGGCGGGTAGCATATATACATATATATATATATATATATGTTTATGTGATAGTCGCCCTTTGAACAAAGAGCAGAGTTGCTACAAGGTTCTGGGAATCATGGGCCTCCAAGGGCGGCCTTATTTCTGGACCAGGACAAGTTCAGGATAACCCCCTCACGAGGCCGTAGTCAGGGTTCTTGAAACCAAGCCACAAGACTAGGAACTGGGTGTTGGGTCCTCTTGGTTCCTTTTCAAGCGGCCAGCTTTCTGGCGCCTGAAGTTTCTCCACTCATGAGCTGCCAGGCATCACGGCGGAGGTGGAGATATGCCGCTCCATGGATAGGCCGGGTGAATGGCATGGCCAACGAACCTGCGCTTTTTTCTCAGATCGCTGAAGCCTATAGGGGTTCTAACTTCTAACGCGGGGAAAGTGATTTGCAAGATTGGGATGGTGCTAAAAACGTGCAGTTTGGGGTGCTTGTGTAGGTTCTGTTTGGGGAGGTGTTTGAGGTGCTGGTGATGGTGGAGGCGCATTTTTGCTCGATTGACGGCCGGGTGTTTGGGGTGCTAGCTGGGGTCTATGATGGTGTGTATATATATATATCTAGTTTTTTAGGGGGGGCATTGTCACAATGGAGGATGTCGTCAAACTCGCCTTTTTGAAGGGAAGTAAGATGGGTTTATCTCAAGGCTGGCTGCAAAATCGGCTGACTTGTAATTTTCTTTTGATTACCTTGTGCAGACAAGACCTTTACAAGATGCGAACTCACGGTATTAAGCCAACGATCCGGGACGTGTCAGCCCTTAATCCATTAATCATCCATATTCATTCTGAAACGGGTTTACCACAAGCTTCCTTGCTCAACTTTTATGTATAGAATGAGAAAAGCGATCGCCAGGCAGTTGGAGGATGCCTTGCGCGGTCTGGACGGCAAGATCGAGAAAGTCTCCTCTCTGACCACGCAGTGCTCGGAAGGCCCCACGACCAAACACCCAAGCTGGGTACCAAATGAGTGTTTAAGGGAGCGCGACGAAACCCCCTTGAATAATGATGTTGGCGAAGTTCCGCCTGCCACTTTCAGGGATACCACGGGAATCCCCTTGAAAGTATTTCATCATGTTATTAAATTAATCACCAAACAAGCCGGCGATTTTTATTGAAGCCCTGGCCATATCCCTCCATGAGTCGCCACCCCGGAAGGACCAGAAAGGCAGGGCATGTCAGATTTTAGATGGGTCAATCTGGGCAAATAATGAAGGACGCGTTTTGCGGCGCTCCGTTGACTGCGCTTGCAAGACCCGCACACGAAGTGACATCTTGGTCATTTGCATTTATCATATGGTCAATGCCGGTCTGATATTCCTGCTCGTGTCCCGTGTTTTCAAATAATCATCCCCGAACGAGTTCGATCGTCTCCAGCAAGAAAAAGACAACACATCAAGCAGGTAAGAAAGAGGAGACAAAAACAACATGCACGTTTGGACCGAACAGGCAAGCCAAAAAACAACTGGACAGATTGTCAAACACCAAAGACAGACACATACACACACAGACACAAAACCACCACTGACTGGGTCCAAGGGACGAGAAACGAGGAGATGACCATTTAACGAGGAGCATGGAGGTTTCCAACCGCCAGCCGAACAAGCACCCATTTTTTGTTGGTTCTCAGCGTCTGAGTTGGAATGACCCGAAGAAAAAACACATGTCGGTGGTAAATATATTCCCATGGGCCGTAACCTAAGGCTCCATCTTGGGGTGGATGAACATCCATTTGCCACTTTTGTTTTGATGTTGACCGGGGGTTCAGGGTTTTGACCCACAGCCAAATAAATTTGGATGGACTTTTTCTGGCCCGTCTCAAGGAAAAGGTGAGCCTGCCCAACATGGAAGCTCCCACCCCTTTGGTTGACTGGGTTCCATTTACAGGATCGGCCTTCTGGGAGCTTCCGGCTGTTAGTCTGAGTGTAGCTCTGGCACCGAGCAGAGAAAGTTGCCAGCGAGAGGCCTCCTGGAGCTCAAGCAAAGCGCGGAGGCAGCTGGGGTGCTGGAACGCCGGGAGCAGGCGAAGCGGGAGGCTCGCAACGGAGAGAGATCGAAGCTGGCGGGTTTCTGGCTGCAGTTTGTTTCTTCTCTCTCTTTTTTTTTGTTGAAAATATTAGAATCAGCTTCCCGCTGGATGGTGGTTTGGATTGGTGGTTTTTTGATTGAGAGATGGTTTCCCATTTGCCCTCAACAAGAATCACCAGGGGGGTCAAGTTCCCACACCCGTTGGAATGTCATTCAGCACAGGCCCAAGGCCTTGGATCTTCAGTCCACATGTAGTTAAGCTGGCTATCAGTTATCCCGGTTACAACTACAATAGCTTTGTGTCTTTACTAGGCGTGTTTCAAATGTGTCCTTTAAAAGCCCACCCAACCACGGGTACAGGTTTGCAAGATAATTATGGGGGTCTTCCCCTCCAAAATAAACTTCCCCCCACCAAAACCAGGGAGAAGCACCCACCCATATTGCTTAGTTGGTGGCTTGGATTGGGATTCAGTGAGCCCCAGCTGGACGTTTGCCTCAGAAGTCCTGCTTGCGGGTGTCCTTCAACGGCCGGGGGTTGGTTGGCTTCTTTTACAGTTGGACCCAGAAAATGGCAGGGGTGTGCTTATTTCCTTGAAAACCACCCCAACATCTGTGTACCAACTCTAAAGTTGTCACTTTTTTGCAGCGGTCCCATGAGTTTGGCGAACTTGAGGCTCTTGGCTGCAGTCTTCCTACTGTTGATTTGTGTGTTTCGTTGCTCGCATTTTCCGGAATGCAGTTGATAAGCCCCTAGTTGATTGCTGGGGCTCACGAACTTGGGAACCATGCCCTATGAATCCGTAAGGCCTGACAAAACATTTAGTGGCAGTTTGTCTCTATTCCCATGCTGAACTGTTGAGCGGAACGGGGGCAACCCTGGTTTCACCATTTTCAGACAGCAAAGGTGCCATGGTCAAAGCCACCTTTGCCTTGAGGTTAATATAGTCATCAAGCCCTTACTAGGATTTAGACAACCATTGTGAGGGTTGCTTGTAGGCACATATGCCCGTTCGGATCATGGAGCAGTTGTGGTTCTGCCAAGACAGATGGAACCTGGCACACGGCGAAGATGCCAAGCCTGGCGGGATCCACCGCTGGGTTCAGAGGGTGTTTTCTTTTCCATGCCGTTTTTTTTTCCCGAACCCTGGCTTTCCAATTGGCTTGCCTCGACCTCCCGTTTGTGTGACTTTTGTGGGCTCGTGAAGGTCCGGACCTGCCCAAATCGCTCCGATTGGATGTCCGTATTGAGGGAACGCCTGGGGTACTGGGCACGACCGAACCCTTTTGCTGCAGGCATGAGCAACAGCCAGTGACTGCTTGGCACATGCCCCTCCGCCACCCTAGCAGATCCAAAGAGGTCGATCATTTTACGTCAGCGCCACAGTGATTCAGATTTTCAGCGCTGGTCATTTGGGCAACTGGCAAAGTTCTTGGATGTCTACCGTTCGTTTGGGGAGGACATGAAAACGAGAGGCCCACCCAATTGGCTCCCGTGTCCTTTTAGGGAAACGGGTACTTTTGTCCGAGGCTGGTCGGCAAAGTTAGGATGTTTGGTCGAGACGATCCTTGGATGAACGACCTTGCCTCCACGTTGACGTTCAGACAGGGTAAGTAGGTTGTAACCTCATGACCTACTTGCCAGATACCTCATGACTTACTTACCCCCCCCCCACAGGGTAAGTAGCTTGTCTCCGGAACTCTCTACTCCTGGAAACAGGAGCTGCAGGAGCGCGCCGCCAGCACCGCGGCCCAGCTCGAGGACTGCTGATCTTCTGGGGAGAGCACTTGCCATATGGAACTCCAAAGATCCAGCGGTTTTGGTCTTTTTTGTGTGTGTATACAATGGGAGATCCTTTGGGGGGAGTTTCCAGTTTGGGTTCCGCTCGACCCCATCCCAGTGGCGTGAGGAGAGCAGATGATGAACATTTGCAACCAAACAGCGGCCAGGCAACTTCCAAGCCCCCGTTCACCCTTCAACCCTCCAATCATTCCAATCCCTCCACCAACCCCTCCAACCCCTCCAATCGCTCCACCAACCCCTCTCCGCCCCGTTTGCCACCAGGCAGCCAAGGCTGTGGCCGCGGAGCAGGGCCAGAGGCTGGACCAGCTTGGGCGCAGCTACGCGGAGCTGGCCGAGTTCGCGCGCCAAGGCTTGCGGGGCGCGGGGGGAGCTGTGCCGTTGGTTGCTTGGGGCCACGGGAATTCAGGCGAGTCTGGCGTTCTTGTGGGTTGTAGGAGAGGTGGTATTCTTTTTAGCAGGTTTGCCCATGGGGTGCTTTCCTCCTGGCGTTCCGTTCGAGAATGCCCAGAGAATGGCTGAAGGGACAAACATCGCGGGCTCGGGTTTGAATGTTGCCGTACAGGGTGCTTGAAAGATGAGAGTGGGACCAAGCACGCGACGCCCAGTGGCTGCGGGGTGGGCTGCTACCAGCGACCTGTTTCTTGACGACAGACCCTTTCCGTCTCTAGCATGGGGCTGAATTGTATGTCGAATCATTCTTATGGTTAAAGGCTCTATGAGGTTCATCCCTCCTTCATTCACGTGGTTCTCAGCGTTACCCCGGCCTTTTTTGGGTTTTTTTAGTCTGGAGGGATTTATGACGTATCACTGTATCACACTTAATTTTTTAAGGGATCAACAGGCCACTAGGTGCCTAGGTTCGGCATTCACAATCTCGTGCCGGCATGGCACGTCTTTTTTTGTTTGTTTTTGTTTGCCAAGCGCAGGCCTGGCGGTTGATGTGCAAGGATGCCAAGCTGCCAACAGGCCTGGAGATCCGGACTTCGGTTTGGTTTGGGTCTCATTCTGAGAATCCCCAAAATGGGTGGTTTCTATTTTGGATTCGGGAGTTGCCAGTGTTCCATCAACTTGGGAAGGGCACCGGGGATTCCCTGATTCCCATCACAACACCTTGGGACTGGCTAGCCTTTCCTATGTCCTTCCGGGCAACAGCATACTCTGGGGGAGCCGAAGATGGCTTGTTTTCCTGAGTTTGCCATTATAGAAATCCCTGCAAAGACACGCCCATGTATATATTTTTCAAATGTTGCCCTCATGGCAACTTGGAAAACTCGGTGAGACGGTGGTTGATGCTCATGAAATTCCTAATGCAGAATTGGAGAGTCAACTGGCCCAAGCATGT